TTTACTACCAGTCTATATATATACAGCGTGTTTCTTAATGACATGCCATTTAAGGGGGCGATTCTTGGACTTATTCTAAGAAAAAAACTTCATATTTTGAATGGATGTCCTGAACATCTTAATTTCTGGTAAATTTTTCTAAAAAAAAAATTTCTCATTAAAACTCTGATTTTATTATAGATATCTTTATGAAACTGGATACAGGTCTTCTATCCATCAAAATACATTTTTTGATGTACAAAAACAATTTTATTTATTTCAACCAGTGCCGTCCAGACGAGTTTTCCATTGAATATTTTTGAGGAAAAAATAGATACACCACTGACTTCCCTTATAATAAAAATTATTTTCAATATCCCCATTCATTTCTTCTTCTATAACAATTTTTATCTTTTGATTTTTTCGTCCGACGCATATTTTTTGCTTAAAATATTAAAGTCGGTTTACTTTAGGGTCAAATCGCTGAAAATCTGATGCGGTGACTATTGTGTGAAATTCGTTTCTGCATCGGCTGGAAGGAAATTAAGAAATAAAACATTTTTTTTGTATATTAAAATATGTATTTTGATATACAAAAAAATATAATATCAGAGATATTTTGAAAAAAAAAATAAATAAAAAAAAAATTTTACCACCCTGTATCGAAAAGTTAAGATGTTTAGGACATACATTCATACGAAGTTTTTTTTCTTAGAATCACTCCCTTCAAAGAATCACTCTATTAAATATTAGCATGTCATTAAGGAACACCCTGTATCTATTTCTTCAAAATTTGACGACGCCATCAATGTGGCATAGTTTCAGGATCTTCATATAAAAGTGTTAAGTAAGTAAATATCTTTTTTTACTTTAATCAGTGTTTGAAAAATCGATTTTGCTTATTTTAGAATATAATGTACTCCCAAATGTATACTTAACAAAACCGTTTCAATTTTTAAGATTTACACATTTTGTTCTGTTTGTTTGAGAATTTGGTACCAATGTCTACCTACAATAGGCATTGCGGATTTCTCACCACTATATTTAACAAAAATGGATAACAGAAATAATCTAATATTTAACACTTTTTCCTGCTTCAAATCGGTTTATTTTAGATTTTCGATTTTTTGACATTGTTGCTATAATACAATACTACTTTTCTACACTCCAAATATTACGCGTCAGCTATAATCTTTTTTATTACGTCTATCACCTTATTATATTTATATCAAACCAATGTCATCCGTTATATATTCGCACTGTTTGATAAAATAATATCTATTTGAGTGTGGTCTAAGCGGCCTACCCGTTAAGACCTGCTTCCAAAAATCTCTAACATTGATACTACACTAAATTTCTTTAAAAAGTTTGACTTCTATAACAAAATATAGTCTCTTCTTTATCTGAATTTGTTACTATACGGTATTATTTCCTTTTTTTTTATTTTAAGCATAATTGCATTATTAGAGATCTGCAATTTTTCCATCGTATTTTTTAAATCTATTTATTAGCCTTGCTTATGTGTAATATTCTATCTATAAATAAGAAAATCTAATTTACTAATTACTAAGAGCATTAGATGGTCTATTAAGCACTGGTAGCTAATGCTCAGAGGTGGTTTTAGTCAGTAAAAATCTGACATAACCAGCGATTATCTCTGGTATCTTTAAAAGATTTTCTAACTCGACACAAAAAAATTAAATTCAAAAATAAATAAAATAAAAGCAATTTTTGTTTTCAAAGCCCGGATTTTTTTGCTGGTGAAATTAAAATTACGTCATCAATTTATAACAGTCACAGATAGCTTTAAACGGGATCTTTAATTATTTGTTTTCTTATTATCCTCGTTTACTTTAAACGCTCCTTTATTTCACGTCCCGCTTGCTTTTTATTTTTGCCGAAGACTTTGCGAAGGAAAATTAGAAAATTGCTTACGCGAAAAAGGAACGCTTTATATACAATAGTACAGTAAAATTTAATTTACAAGGTTTGTAAAAGAAATTTTATAATTAATGTAAAATTATGCGGTTATTTATAAAATATTCTTTAAATTAAAATAGATTTTATAAGAAAAGGTGAATCATAGAAGCACATGTTATGAATAAGTTTTAAATGAATCAGGTTTATCACATTTAAACCATACCATTTTTGAAATATTTTCAATTTTGTGAAATTGCAATAAAAAAATTAAGTCACCATTTCTCCAAGGGTATCAAAGTTATTATTACTAAATATTTACTGAAGTTTATTTATTGATCAGATATTGTATTGCAATAATAAAAATAATACTACTTTATACAGAGTGTATAAAAATTTATATTAAATAATTACTAGCTTTAGACGACAATAAATTGGTTAATGTAAATAGCACTCTCTATATTTTACGAGAATCCGATGCACAATTTAATTGCCGGTTTAATTGTCTATCAAATTATATTACACCATTTTTTACCTATCTTTTCAATTTTTTGTGGAAAATGCATTTTGTTATAATTTAGGCCTTATTTATCAATATATCAATGGAAATTGACATTTTAGATTTTTTTAAAGCAACAAATGTACAAAATGCACAGGTGCTAAAACGATAATATGACAAGCCCATTTGTTTACAAAAAGAAAACTATTTAAATCTTAAATCGTCGTATGTGGTGAACAACCCTGTATATGTCTTATTCGAAGAGGGCTAGTTAGTAAAAAATGTCTAGAAAAAGTATATTTTTAGGAATAATTTGGTAACACATACTCGGTATTTCGAGACATATTCACTGAACCAAAAGGCGACATAAATATGATGAAAAAGTTCATTGATATAATGAATTAAATCATTAATTTTGAGCCGATGAACGATTTCATTGGCACAATGAAAAGTAATTCATTAACTCTATGAACTTTAAGTTCATTAAATCAATGAACAGTGTTCATTAATTTGAAGAACGCATTCATTGGTACAATGAACAGATTTCATTAATATAATGTACCAAAATCCTTATATTAATGAACCGTATTATTAATACTAGGAAATAATTTCATAACCTGTTTAGTTATACATTTAAAAGTTGACACTATTAGTAACTCTTGTTATACCGTATAATCGATGATGAAGATCGCTGTTATTGATAGTCATTTCCTAGCCAACTACCTAAAATAATTCTACTATAAATACATTTTCCATTTGAACAAGCCCTTAGCTACAAAGGTAACAAAATTACCAATAGTGCCTACTTACTTACGAGCACAGTAAATTTTTCCATTAGGGCAATAAAAAACAAGTGCACTAAACTAATAATAATTTATTCAAACTTGATATCGCATATACAAGTTAAAAATAAAAAAAATCGATTCGACGAACCATTTCTTCATTATATTAGCTGTATCGTTAGACTTGATAACATCTAGACGAATTTGTAACAGGCCTTCCAAGTCGCATCAAGTGGGTTCGATGTTAAATTGTCGAATTTGAGGGCTTGAAGGCAGGTCTCAGCAATGAATACCCGCACCCGCATAATCTCACACAGCGGAATTTGATTTGACAACACAACAAATTAGCTACAATACGATAGGACTTTTATTTAAAATATTTAAAATATTGAAGAAAGCACTTACCGCTCTAATGAAACTAAAGCCTCACTGAATAACACAACCGCACAGACGTTATTAAAGTGCCAAAGTAACCGATCAAGATGGCCACCATTTAAGTCCTAATATTTTATTCCTGATATTAATAACCGCGTACATTAATTTCCTTGTATTAATAACATTGTTCGTTGTCACAATGTACAACTCATTAATCAATGATTTAGTACATTAATATAATGAATATGTGTTCATTAAAGTTTTAGCGTTAAAATAAAAAACGCATTCATTGGTACAATGAACGCGTTCTTTATATTAATGAAAATCATACATTAATTTAATAACCAGATTTTCATTATATTGATGAAATTAGATTCATACTATTAGTAAATCAAGCATCGATCTATGATTAACAAATCATTAATATAATGAAAAAAATCATTGTCCCAATGAAACGACAGTTAATAATCAATGTTCATTAATATTATGAACAATATTAGTAGGTATTTTATGAGAGAGCCTCCTCCTCATTTTCTGTGATTTTCCCTCCTTGTACCATGAGAGAGCTTCCTCCTCATTTCTGTGATTTTCCCTCCTTGTACCGTTATTCTGCGGCATTGAACTCTTAGCTTATAGGGACGTACAGAAATATCGATATACTACTTTTCGATATTTCATTATATTAAAAATGTCTTAGATAATAACTATCGACCCATATATAACAAGTCGATTCATTCCTACTTTTTCTTCAAAGAGGGGATGATATAGAGAAACAGAGATATTCTTATCCCCACTTATTTCTACCCCCACTATATCAATATCCAATCATATATAGTAAAACATCCAAAAGTAAGTATTAGTTCAGAATGACCGACGAAAATAATTTACAAACCCTCTCTCAACAGACGAGTTTTACTGTTCAACACCAATCTATACTTAGTGTATTACAATCTCCTCCTAGGGAAGAAGAAGAATCTAGAACCTGCGAACAAAATACAAAAGAAAATGTAGAGGAAATTAAGCGACAGTTTTGTGCTATTTGTCAAGACATGGTTGATTGCTACGAAACTTGTGTGCCAAATACATGTTCACACTTTTTTGCTTAAACTGTATATTAACATGGAATGATGTACATTATGATGCAAAAATGACAACTAAGTGTCCACTATGTGGTTTACATTATAAATATTTAGTGCAGTTTCGAAAAGATATAATTAGATATTACTTTGTCCAGAGTATAAAAAGGGGATTAAAATAAATGTGACTATAAATATTTGCAGTTTTATTTTACATCATGTAAAAATTCTATTGATTTGACAGATAAATATCATTTAAAAAAAGTTCTAGAGATTTTATCCAATGTTCCCATCAAACACTTCATTTAATTCTAAACACACACACAAGCAAACAACAACACAACCAGTTTAATATATTATTATCAAATAAAACATTTTATCGATATTTCAAATCATTGCTCATCTCTAATATAAAATTTAAAAAATAAAACCAGTATCACAGGTTCAACGATCTCAGAGAGAATCGAGAACCAGATACCTGCAGATATAATCTCAGATCGACCTCGCCTCTGCCGACCAGTTGCTTGTAAAAGACGGTTAGATGGTTTGGTTGTAAATTTCGCACCCATTGCAATAAAATTAAGGATATTTTGATAAACATTATTTGTGTTAGTTAAAGTTAATATCTATAGTTTTGGTAAGTTATAGTTTTACATATTCGTCTAATAAAATTAAGACTTTCTATTCAAAAACTTGTCCAGTTCTTAATTATATTTTTACACTTATAAAAATAATATTCTTCAAAAATTTAACTCGTTATTAATATTAAAATAGCATTATAAAAACACCCAGGTAAATAGATTAACAAAAGATAGATAAAAATAGTCAGTAAATCACTATGGACAAATAAACAATACAAAAACACAACTAAACATTAACTACAGTAAAATTAAAAAATAGACAAACTACACCAACAAACACAAAACCACAAAACAGACAACAAACACTCAACAATAAAAATAGACAAACTACACCAACAAACACAAAACCACAAAACAGACAACAAACACACTAACAAAACAGACTGTCTAAATTTAATTCACCATGGATACATGCACAGTAACTAGAGTAAAATTAAAAAAATAGACAAACTACACCAACAAACACAAAGCCACAAAACAGACAACAAACACTCAACAATAAAAAATAGACAAACTACACCAACAAACACAAAGCCACAAAACAGACAACAAACACACTACCTGAAACTGACTGTCTAAATTTAATTCACCATGGATACATGAACAGTAACTAGAGTAAAATTAAAAAATAGACAAACTACACCAACAAACACAAAGCCACAAAACAGACAACAAACACTCAACAATAAAAATAGACAAACTACACCAACAAACACAAAGCCACAAAACAGACAACAAACACACTACCGAAACTGACTGTCTAAATTTAATTCACCATGGATACATGAACAGTAACTAGAGTAAAATTAAAAAAATAGACAAACTACACCAACAAACACAAAGCCACAAAACAGACAACAAACACTCAACAATAAAAATAGACAAACTACACCAACAAACACAAAGCCACAAAACAGACAACAAACACACTAACAAAACAGACTGTCTAAATTTAATTCACCATGGATACATGAACAGTAACTAGAGTAAAATTAAAAAAATAGACAAACTACACCAACAAACACAAAGCCACAAAACAGACAACAAACACTCAACAATAAAAATAGACAAACTACACCAACAAACACAAAGCCACAAAACAGACAACAAACACACTACCGAAACTGACTGTCTAAATTTAATTCACCATGAATACATGAACAGTAACTAGAGTAAAATTAAAAAAATAGACAAACTACACCAACAAACACAAAGCCACAAAACAGACAACAAACACACTACCGAAACTGACTGTCTAAATTTAATTCACCATGAATACATGAACAGTAACTAGAGTAAAATTAAAAAAATAGACAAACTACACCAACAAACACAAAGCCACAAAACAGACAACAAACACTCAACAATAAAAATAGACAAACTACACCAACAAACACAAAGCCACAAAACAGACAACAAACACACTACCGAAACTGACTGTCTAAATTTAATTCACCATGGATACATGAACAGTAACTAGAGTAAAATTAAAAAAATAGACAAACTACACCAACAAACACAAAGCCACAAAACAGACAACAAACACTCAACAATAAAAATAGACAAACTACACCAACAAACACAAAGCCACAAAACAGACAACAAACACACTAACAAAACAGACTGTCTAAATTTAATTCACCATGGATACATGAACAGTAACTAGAGTAAAATTAAAAAATAGACAAACTACACCAACAAACACAAAACCAACTAAGTGCCCAATATAATATACAATTTCCAAATTTCTTTCATGATTAGGTCATAGATACAACATAATATTTTAATAATATAAGTTAAAACATAGAATTCTTTTGTAGAACTAAAATATCAACATGTTCAATTGTACATCTTGTGTTAAATCTTTTAATCGTAAAGATAATCTATTACGCCATATGAGGACTGCCTGTAGCAAGTCAAGTTTTTTCAACCGATGGTTTGGAAAGTCTGCTGAAAAAAGGGTAAGACTTTTTCTCACTGTTTTACAATGTTAGTCTTATAAATATTTTCTTTTATAGAGAGATTTTTGTAAAAAAATCGGGAATCGCATGACAAAATATCGATTTTCTGCAGAATCGATTTAAATCGAACATCCATAGTCAAGAACCTACTATAAAAGAACTTGCTTTTACCGCAGACTGCAACAATATTTCAAACGTGCAAGGTGTGTTTGACTTTGTTTCCAACTGTTTACAGGTAAATATTTTTTTTAAAATGGATCACAAATTAATTTATTGCAAGTTGTTGCCTTCAAAAACTTTTCAAATCCTCGTGTTATTTTAATCATTAAACTAAAACATTAAGAAAATATCTAAAACCATATTCAAAATTAAAAACTTTAGGTTACGCGCTTCAAAATGTTGTTGAAAATATTACTATTAATGAAGAAAATGCTGCAGGAATAGAACGTTTAAAACAATGTTTCGATACGTTAGTGGATTCATTTGATTAAATATTTACATTTTTTTTTCCATTTCTTAATTTAATTAAATTGAAAAAATATATTTATACCTTCTTCTTTCCAAATTTTATTCATAACTTTTTAAATATTCAAATATACAACATAATCTTATATTACAGAATTAAATTGAAAGATGTTCACATGTACATCTTGTCAAAAATCCTTTACTCGTAAAGACAACCTATCTCACCACTTAAAGAATACGTGCAAGAAGTCTTCTTTTCTAAACCGTTTTTTGGGTAGGTCAGCAGCTGAAGAAAAAAGTAAGACATTCCCATTGTATAATTTTATAAACTAACAAAATAATTTCATTTATAGAAAAATATTGTTCAGAATGTAAAGAACATATTTTACAAAATTTGTGGGTTGGTCATCTGCATTCAAACAGTCACAAAAACAACTGTAAAACGTTGGAGGAAAAAGGAATTCAAGTAATAAAATCAGCTTTCAAGGAAAGGATAATATCATACAGATTATCTACCGAAGAAAATATTTTAAATGTTAAAAACTATTTTAAAATATTAGAACAAAAGATTCTACGGGTGTTTGACAATCAATTGAAAAAACATACTTGTATTAAAATCAATATAGAACTTTTTGGATATTACTATAATCCAAGTACTGATAATCATGATGTCAAATCGTTCAACACTCCATTTAAAGTAATTTGTAACAGCAGTGCAACAAAGGATTTGATAGAAGAATTTGCAACAATTATTGACAACAAGGCTGATGAATTCGCAGAAAGGGACTCTGGTAAGTGTTATATTTTTAATATAAATGTAACATAATACATTAGTTTTATTTTTGTTTCAGGATGGATTTTACTAAATCTTCTTTTTATGGAAATTAACATCAACAAATTCAATCCTTTGAGAGCATCATCTTTTATTTAACTTCCTCCTAAAATAGTACGACGTCAATAGTACGACGTCAACATAAGAAATAAGGATGACTACTGCTTCGCATGGTCCGTAGTTGCAGCCCTTCATCCTCCAACAGGTGTTGATTTTCAAACATCATCATACCCACACTATTCAACAGTTTTGAACACTACAGGTATTGATTTTCCAATATCATTAAAAGATATTAAAAATTTTGAAAATCAAAACAATATTTCTATCAATGTGTACGGTTTAGAAAAATATTGTAATAAAATTTCTAATAATGAAGAATATGAAAAAATAATTGGTCCTCTACATTTTTCTAGTGATAGAAAAAATATTCATGTTAATTTATTATTAATAAATGATGATGATGAAAATTTTCATTATTGCTACATTTCCGATCTTTCTAAATTAATTTCTAAACAACTTAGTAAACATAATGGAAGAAAATATTTGTGTGAAGGATGTCTTCAATACTTTGACACAGAACAAAAATTACAGTAACATAATAGTTATGATTGTGATCATGTTAGAATTAATTTACCTTCTAAAGAATTATTTAAAGACAAATATGGAAATGTAGCATATGAAAACACATTAAAATATGTTAATTATCGAAAGCAAATGAAAGTTCCTTTTATAGTATATGCAGATTTTGAATGTATTTTAAAACCTTTGAATGAGAATTATGATGTAGAAAATCCAAATAATTCATATACATTAAAAAAATTTAAACATATTCCATACTCTTTTGCGTATTACATCAAATGTTCATTTGATGATAAATATTCTAAGTTTGAAAAATATAGAGGTTTCATGCATAACACGGAAATCAGAGACAAACAATCCTTTTCTATCAAATTTTGATGCAACAAAACCTAATAAATATATAATGTACTATGATGCAACAAATTTATACGGTTTTGCTATGTCCCAATATCTGCCAACAGGTGATTTTGTATGGTTAACCGAAAAAGAAATAAAAAATCTAGATATTTTTTCAATTTCTAGTACATCTAGCAAAGGACATGTTCTAGAGGTTGATCTGGAATATCCTGAAAGTCTCCACGACACTCATAATGATTTTCCTTTTTGCCCTGAAAATTATAAACCACCTAATTCAAAATCTACAAAATTAATACCAAATTTAAACAATAAGTTAAAATATGTAATTCATTACCAATTGTTAAAACAATGTCTACAAAATGGACTTAAGATTTCTAAAATTCATAGAGTAATACAATTTTCACAATCTGCTTGGTTAAAAAAATTTATAGACTTAAATACCACACTACGAAATCAATCGAAAAATGAATTTGATCGCCACACATACAAATTAGCAAACAATAGTATATACGGCAAAACAATGGAAAATGTGGATAGGAGAGTCGATGTAAGACTTGTTACCGAATGGGAAAAAAATAAAAGAACAGATGGAGCTGAAAATTTGTTAGCAAAGCCATATTTCAAGGACTTAACAATTTTCTCAGAAAACTTGGCTATTCAAATGAAAAAAATACTAGTTACTTATAATAAACCAATATACGTTGGATTTTGTATTTTAGACATATCAAAAACTGTCATGTACGATTTTTTTTATAATTTTTTAAAACCTTTGTATAAAGATAATGTGTCTCTTTTGTATACTGATACAGATTCTTTTATTCTGGAAGTGACAACAGAAAATGTTTACCATGATATGCATAGAAATATTCATAAATTTGACACTTATTTGCCAAATAATAATCATAATATGCTTATAGCACAATCAGTGGTTGGTAAATTTAAGGATAAATATGCTAGTGAACCCATTGTAGCTTTCTATGGTATCGGAAGTAGATAAGCAACTTATGTTCGAGCTCAAAATCCTATGCTTTTTCTTATGAAGGACCATTCTGTCCTTTTTGTACCCAAAGTGGTGGGTGTAAATTCTCTTTGTCTGTCAGTCTGTCTGTCACTACCTGTCTGTCTCAGCTGTCTATCTACTACCTGTCTGTCTGTCTGTCTGTCTGTCTGTCTACTCCGAAAATGGTTTATTAAAGAAAGCTAAAGGTATAAGAAAACATGCTACTAAAAATCAGTTGCATTTTATCCACTATAAAGATGTAGTAGAAAATAATTCTAAAATTTTTTGCTCCATGTATGTTTTTCGTTCTAGACTACATTCAATATTTACTGAATTAATACATAAAATTGCTTTGAATTCTGAAGATAATAAAAGATATCAAATTCCACATGATTTTAAAACACTTGCTTGGGGTCATCATGATATTTCATTTTACCAGTGGAATGATTATCATCCAGACCTCAGCATATTTTTTAAATAATATTTAATTTAATATTATTTCTTTAATTTAAACATTTAAACATTTAATATGATTCACTCTGATTGTATTTAGATCCATTTAAAAAAAAATATTTACCTGTAAACAGTTGAAAACAAAGTCAAACACAAAAGCACAAATCTGGTCACACGAACACCTTACACGTTTGAAATATCGTTGCAGTCTAATATATATTTATTAATATTAATTTATTATTCCTTTAGAACTTATCATAATGTATACATATTAGTTATAGAGTTAGAGGAACAATTATATTTTATGTATTTTAGTTTTATATGTTAAATGGAATTTAGAATGTAGTAACTAATTTAATTATTTTATATGTTAGATTAATTCTGATTTTAGTTGTTGTAATTTTAATTAATAATATACTTTTATATGGATAATGCATTTTTAATGAAAAATATACCTACTTAAAGAATACGCCTTTGACAATATTTCATTCCTTATTAACATTTCTTAAGATGTGTTTGGAAAGTTTTGATAAAGATATTGATGATGTTACTTATAAAACCTATGAAAATCGACTTTCTACTTTTAAAAACTGGAATGGAAAATTGGAACCTGAGGTATTAGCAGGAGCAGGCTTTTATTATATTTCATATAGTGACGTATGCAAATGTTACTATTGTGGAACTGAAATTTATGAGTGGACCTATGATGACTGTCCTATCGAAGAACATCACAAAATTTCTCCATTATGTAATTTAAACGAATGTTTATGGTTAAGTCAAAACAAAAAAAATAAGAAACAAAAATTCAAAAAATCTAATAATTCACTGGAACATGTAATTTTGATGATATTATTATTCATTAATTTACATCTTTTTTTCAACATATATTTCTTATGCTAATAAGTATTTATATTCATCTATTGAAAAGATATTGTCAAATATCATTTGGTGATCATCTTGAATGGAAGTAAATTGTAGATAAATAAATTTTTTAATAAAATATTTACTTTGTTTCAATGGCTCATCAAACCCATTTTATTCTCCTTTATTTCATATTTCAAAATGTTATTTATGTTCATTATCCCCCTACTGTAACACGATGTGAAATATGTTTTTCCAATGAAACAAACATTACACTTGATAAAAATTGTCAGTTTATGAAAGTTGGTTTAATCAATAATAATACACTTAGTTTTATATATCCCATCAACAAAGGAGAAAATGTTAGTAGGTTTTTTAAAATTTTATATCATTATTCAAACCAAACCATTTTTGATACTAATTGGATTGAAAGAACCGAATTAAAATATACACATTTTCAAAATGAATCATTCAATTATACTAAATTTATTAATGAAAAAAATAATGGATATAACATTTTTAATATCGTTAATCTCTGTTTAACTTTTACTATATTTTTGTATATTACAATTTTAATTATCTTTTTTTATTATAAATTTCAAACAGGAAATTTACACTTTCATTAATCAATTTCATTTAAAATATTGTTTCGAATAAGCAATGGGTATGAGTTGACGATATCAATAGGTGGGGGTATGAAATGGTGGGGATCCGAATATTAAAGTAAGAGGAGAACTTAATATTATTTAGTTCATTCACCATGTCTTCTAAAGTTTTTGAAAATCTTTTGAATTCAAAAATTTTCTTTTTGAATAAATCTTCATCAAAATTTGTTATTGTTGGTATAAGTAATCAAGATTTTTCACCGAAAATTATAATTGGTGGAAAAAATGGTTTTTCTATAACTCTAAGTGAAGAAAATTGGAATAGTTTTTGTAGTCATCGGGGAGTTATTGAAAATTACTTCTGCTTTCCCCAGCAAATTAACGAACCCATGTTGAATATAGACAACTTTAAATTATATTTTGAGAAAGTCAAAAATCCTCCTATCATAAAAATTAAAGAAGAATATTCAAGATATATATATTTAGGATATGAGTCTATAGAAACATTATGGCGATTAAAGGAAGTTGTGGATTACAGGATTTCTATTATAAAGAAACAAGAATTTTCACTTTACTTTAAAGTATTCCAAACCAGCATTTCAATTCAGGAAGGTGATCCTATTGATAATATTTATCGCATTTTGCAACCCAATCAAAATCCCAACAGTGAAAATGTTTCAACTATGTTGGAGTTCCTGATACTGTATCCTGAGGAATTGGAAAAAAGGTTGAAGAGGAATGAACACAAAAGAAAATATTATGAAGAAATCGGTGACCTTTCAGGAAGAGAAAAATAAACTTTATGTGTTAGTGTAGTGGAATTTTGCTTATAAACAAGCACGAAAAAGTGAATTTAGAACTTATTATTTAGATAGACTTCGTTTTGAAAAACGAATTAATAATTGTAAGATTATTCTTGATCCAATACTAAGCAAAGAACACAGAACTAAAATGTATTTAACACGATTTGCTAATACTTGTATTTAACCAAATATTAAATAAAACTATATTATATTAATTAGTGCTTTATTTTATTTTAAGTTACATAAAACAACTATACAACATCATTTTTATTAATCCATGTATTAAACTTTTTATCTAATCCTAACCATTTTACATATACTTTGTTTCCTTTTCTTCTTAGAATTTTTTCAACGAGGTATACATCAAATATTAAATAAAACTATATTATATTAATTAGTGCTTTATTTTATTTTAAGTTACATAAAACAACTATACAACATCATTTTTATTAATCCATGTATTAAACTTTTTATCTAATCCTAACCATTTTACATATACTTTGTTTCCTTTTCTTCTTAGAATTTTTTCAACGAGGTATACATCAAAGTGTTTTGCTTTCTGTAACTCCTGTTCATAAAATCCACCCTGAATTTCCTCATTTCTTTCATCTTCAATTATATATGTTCTGGGATTTGTCATCTTAACTTTTTTAATTCGAAATATTTCATTTGACCAATTTGGAGTGTAACCTTTGGAAAACGCCTCGCGATACTTGCTTATACGCACATGATCTCCAACTTTAAATTTAGGAAGTTTTGAATCTACTGTTTTAGCATGAGTAAAGATTGATCTTAAAATCTTCTTTTCATTTTGTTTATTTACTTGGTTTGGTTTCATTCCAATTGTTGAATGTTTGGTGTTGTTGTAATCCTTAACGATATCTTGTAAAATATTAAGCCATCTATAATTTCCTTGCAAACTAAACATTTTCCACATTCTGGTTTTTAATGTTCGGTTTACTCTTTCAACTACACTTGCTTTTAAATTGGAAAAAGTACTATAATGATTAATTTTAAATCGTTCCATCAATCTTTGGAAATGTTGGTTGAAAAATTCTGTACCCCTATCCGTTTGCAAATTTTGTGGATTGGTTTTTAAAGTAAGTAATATGGTTTTCATTGCTGTGGCAACATCCTTACCAGATTTTGTTTTTACAGGTTCTGCCCAAACATATTTTGAAAACACATTTATAACAACTAAAATATATCTATAACCCCTGTTAAATTTGGAATATGGTTGCATTTCTACTAGATCTGCCTGTAAAAGATCATTTAGTCCTTTAACAATTACCCTTCTTCGCATAAATTTTTTTTCTAGCAGGTTTATGTAACTCATTAACTACTTGTTCCTTAATGGTTGTCATACTTTTGAAATTTTACCAAAAGATATTTAGTTTTGATAGTAGTTGTCCACAAAGCTTTTATACATCTCTGTCCATTCTTTTTAATTTTTGTATTTGTTCATCCTTATTAGTTTCAATCAAAATTTCATTAATTTTAATTATTTCTTTGACTAGGTTATCTAGATATTCTTTAACTGTTGTTAATAGAAAATCTTTTCTTTTATTTGCAGAATTTTCTACTTCCGTTTCTATTTTGTTAGTTCTTCATGCAATATTTTAGAGATAGTATATATATTTTGTGAAAGATTTTCTATATATTGTCTAATCTCTAAAGATACAACAGATAATTTTTACCATTAAGAGTATCCTTTATAAGTTTACTCTTAGATGAAACAATACTATCAATATCATTTCTTAGATGTTTAATTCTTTCTTTTTTGATTTTTAATTATCACTTCTCTAATTTGAGTGTTCATGGTCTTATCAATTTCATCAATATCAGCATTAATTTTTTTATTTTCTTCTTTTATACTCTTTCAACGATTCTAGACTTACATAAAGTTCATCCAATTTTAAATCGAACTTCTCTAAACTGGATTTTATTGTAGAAATTTCACTTTTACTTTTATTTCTATCTTCACTTTCCAAAATTTTTTCTGATTTTAATTTTGTAATTTCAGCTAATGTATTATTAAATTGCTGTCTTAGATCTTGTAGTTCTTCTATGCCTTTTTATGGTTAACTATGTGCATATTTAATGCTGTCGCTGTAATTTTTTCAGTTCTGTCAATTTTATCATGAACATCTTTAAAATAAGCTACTTCTTGATTAACTCTTTCGTAAACTTTGTTTGCGAAATCTTCAAATTTTGTTTTAATATCATTTTGAAGATTTCTTTTGATTGATTCAATTTCTGTTTTTAAATTATTAATTGTTTTTATATTATCATTAAATTGTACAATTTTATCTTCATGTTTTGTAATTTTATCATCAAAAACTTAATTTTCTTTGCAAAATTACTATTGTTTGATTCATTTTCACTTAATCTTTTATTTGTGTTGTCTATACTACCTTGAAAATGTTCAATTACTTTATTTTCAATATAGTTTACATCTGTCTTAAACCTATTTAAAATTTTATTTTCAACATTTGATAAGACTGTATCTTCCAAGGTTGTTGTATTTACAGTGTTACGTTTAGAAATATGACAACCAAATTTATCAACAGACATGATTTGATATTGGTCAACAATTGATTTGTTTATAACTAGCAATTCTTATTTATAGTATAACTTTAGCCTCCCTTAATTCCTCAATTATAGATAATATTTCATTGTTGTGGGCTGTATTGCCAGCATCTGTAGATGCTAGTAAAAGACGAAGTCGATCCACAAGTTCATTTATATTATCCCAATACACATAATCTGTATTTGATTTATTTATTTTTAAAGTTTAAACCTTTCCCTTTCTGAACAGCAGTCGTTCTAATAGTTCTAAATGGTGCTTTCGGTTTAGCAAAAGCTTCAGACAACCTTTCAATGGTGTTATTGTTTTAGTTTTTGTAATACCCTTTCGTTGCAAGTAAGGTCCAATTATTGTTACATATTTATGTGAACTATTTCCTTGCACTTGCTCGTTGGGATCAAAATTTCTACGATATGCATTAGTTCTTTTTAATATGTCCATATAATTTTCTAAATCTTCATTTTTATATCCAACAGGTTCTTTTTAAAAAGTAATTCATATAAACCAACCGTTCCGGGATATTTTATACCTTCCACATGAATATTTTTACCAATTATTTCCACAGGTTTTTGTGTTAAACCCAAAAAATTTATCTCTTTCGAGATCATGCACTATTCCATAATTATGATCAAACTTAGACTTTGTATCTTTCACACCTTCATCTATATATGTTCTTGGTAATTCATGGAAAGCATTCAACCAATCATCATATCCCGAAGTCCCAACATATGTTTGAATAGTTTGTCTTGTCTCTTCTAATATATCTGATAAATTTCTACTTTCTGAATGGTTAAATTGTGAAGGAAATGTTTCTGCAATAATACTTGTTTCTTGTATATTGGGAATCTGACTTATAGATTCTGTTGATCTGTTAAAAAATGATGGAGTTTCAGGTGGTAATATAGGAATTTTGCCAGTTTTCGGAGTTATTTTAACTTTTGTAGG